AGGAAATATACTCTTTGACAACTGCAGAAAATCCGATAAATGTCTTGAATCGGATGTGTGATTAAGATTGTGTTTGACCTTTTTTGTCACCTTAACCTTTCAATCAGATATGAATGGTGCATCATGGGACGTTAATCGCGATATTGTGCAATTAAGAGATTTTATTTAATGTGTCTTGCCATTTAGTTTATTTCCACTGCACTGTGATGTATTCTCAGAATCCCAAATGAAAGATCGTTAAAGATCATTCTCAATTTTGAAAGTAACTTGAGTGACATGTTCTAAATTATTGACTTACGTACGTATGTGTGTACGTGCGCGCACACACATACCTTGTAGCAGCTTACTAGTGTTTTTATTCGACCAATTTTGATAGTCACGTTGCAACATCTAATGGAGACGAGATGCCACGAACAGCGCGGTATCAATAAAAACAAACTGTTACTTAATCCGATCAGTTTATTTATTTATTAATTATTGAAGCTTCTTACGTAACCAAACATCGATCGGTTTGTGATATCTTTGTTTTAGGTTGGTTGAGATGTCGTAACCTTTTCTCCGTTTTTTTTTATCACAAATTCACAAAATAGTTTCATTTATAGTCTGCACTTTCCTTCAGAAGACTGGGACAAAAATAGCAAATTTGTTAAACAAAAACAGAAAAATTGACTCAAATTTTGCCTATTGGTCCCCAAATTAGGGTTTGTTTCGAGAAATATTAAAGAATATATATTAGAATATAAGACAAAAAGTGCAGGAAAATTAGGGCGGGAAATTCTGGTGGTGAAAAAGTTAAGTTCATGGTTACCAAGCTTTAGGGTCATTTGGGGTCGGAATAATTTATTTATAGTATTATGTGAAAATCACTATGTCCTTGCCGTATTGTCATCGTACGATTATATAACAGGTGTGGCACGTTCTTTGCTATGTATAGTGTATGAATATATAGCGGGGGAAACCGTAAACAGTCCGATTATAAAGGGACTGTGGTAGGGTTTAAGACAACACAGTTGTCCTGTGCGTTGTGTTTGATATGGGTGCCATGTGACACTTTGCACAACTCCATGGTTGAGTGAAATTGACATAAAATGCACTATATAGTGGACGAATGAGTAATAAGTAATCACTATCTCAACAAATGTATGCATGGAAGTAAAAATCGGTAATGGTTATTAAGGATGACCCCCCCCCTTATATAAAGAGAATATATTATTAGTTGATTTATCATCAAAAGTACAGTAGATTACAGTGAATTCCATGAAAATATGAATGATTTATGTATATAATATTTATAAAACATTTATGACCCCACGTTTCATTTTTGCGGGTTTCGTTCAATCACGTGTATGCTTACTGGCATGCATCCGTTAGCGTGTTGTGATTTATCAAATTGTTTGAAATTTATAAAATATTACATATAAAACATGCAACAGTCAGCTGGCGTACACGTGATAATAAAATAAATGCTATTATAAATTTACCGATATTTACTATATGGGAACAGCCACCGTGAATACGGCTTGAAACTCAAAGAAGGAGGCACGTTGGGAAACGGGTTTTTCAAAACAGGAAAGATACATATATGTATGTTTACACAAAAATTATTTGCTTAATTGGATCTTTTGACTGATAAAGTTTGGTATTTGTTGCTGATTGTTATACATTTACTGCCAAA